CCCCCCTTCGGGCCCCTCCCCTCCCCTCGCAGTGTTTCCTGCTAGGCAAGGCAAGCCGTTGCCCGCGCCGCCAGGTCCAATTGCCCCACGCACGGCCCAATGTCGTGTCCCCGGTCCTGGGGTTGGTGGTGGGAGCCAACTTCGCCGCATCGTCTTGCTTTGTTGCAGGCAGGCCAAGTTTTGTTGTAAGAGGCAAGATCTGGCTCAGGTCACCGCCCGTTCCTAATCTGGTGCTAAACTTTGCCCAAAGGGTACCAAGATGGGCCGGTCACTCGGTATGCCGGGGGAGGGGCGTGTGGCCCAGCATCGCGCGCTCTTCCTTTTCTTTGTCACTTTCTTTGGCTTGCTCGCTGGGCTGGAGCATCGACTCAGTCACTCATGTCAGTCGGTCCTCGTCCTCTTTAAAGATGTATCCACACCCGCTCCTTTTCTTCAACCGTAAACGGGCCCTCCTCTTCTACTCTTCTACTCTTCTTGACACGTACCTGACCGGTTGTTGTTGTTACTTCCTTTCACTCATGATAAAGCTTGGATGCCTCCCCCATCCCTCGCGCCAACGCACATCGTTCTGTCCGTTGGACAACCACCACTTCGTACAGCACCAGCGTCGCGCGCAACGACCGCGAATAGTCCTGTGCCCGTCAACCGCCTCGCCCGTGTAGTCGACCGCGAAGCTATCCTGCCTTTCTGAACGCCCGGAGCAGGCAATCGCCATCCCTCTAGCAAGTAAAGTCGATTGGCTCCCGCCTGCGGTGCCTCAAGCCAGCTCGCCCTGGCACAGACGCCCATCCAAAGCTAGTCGCTCTTGCGTTGCGCCGGTGTCACCATGAGAAGACAGACGTCGCCCGCGGCAAGCCGCCACGACAAGAATGGCAGCCGAGCGCGTCCCTTCCCGGCCAAGCAGATGTTTGTGCTAGGTATGCATCTAATCCCCGCATCGTCTGCTGGTTTGGCATCTCGGTGGACGACCATCGCCAGTCGTGGCCATCTAACACCTGTCGTACAGCGTGTTGCAGGATATGTGAACCAATCGCGTTCATGTCCATCTTCCCCTACATCTACTACATGATCGAGGACTTCCATATCACCGACGACTCCAGCAAGATCTCCGTCTACGCTGGCATGGTCACGTCCGCCTTCACGCTGGCCGAGTTTGCTACTGGCGTCATGTGGGGTCGCCTCAGCGACAAGATTGGACGCAAGCCGGTACTCCTGATGGGCCTCTTGGGCACGGCGCTGAGCGTCCTCGTCTTCGGCTTCGCCCCGAGCCTGCCGGTGGCCCTGTTTGCGCGGGCTCTGGGTGGCTTCTTGAACGGGTACGTCGTCTGTTGTGTTTTGCACGGGCGGGGAGGAAGCAACAGGAAGGGCATCCTTAGGCTGACACCGTGGACCGTGTAGGAACATTGGAGTGCTCTCGACGACGGTTGCTGAGTTGGTCACATTCAAGGAGCATCAGCGTGAGTGGCCTACTTGCCTATCCTTGCGGTGGCGTGGTGTCAGGCATCAGATGGTTGGTACTAACTGACCGGTGGCAGCTCGGGCCTACACCATCATGCCCATGGTCTGGTGTATTGGGTGCGTGCTTCCTCATCCCAAGCACGCTGACGACATGGGCTTCTAACAAGTCGATACAGATCCATCATTGGGCCCATGATTGGCGGAGCCCTGGCGCGACCCTGCATCAGCTACCCCGACTTGTTCCCCCGCGGCACCATCTGGGATCGGTACCCCTACCTGCTGCCCAACCTGTTCAGCGCGGCGACCGTGTTCGTTGGTCTTGTGGTCGGCCTGCTGTTTCTCGAGGAGACGCATGCGGAGAAGAAGCTCCAGAGGGATCGCGGCCGCGAGCTGGGAAACCGAATCACGTCCCTGTTCCGCCGAGCCACGGTGTGTCAGTGCCGCGGGCGGCCCGCGGAGAAGCAGGCCTTGCTCGCGAGCGACGGCTTGACCGGCTATGACACTTCGGACGTGTCCTGCCCAGGGCGCATGACCATGACAGATGTCGACGAGTCGCTGCCTGCGTACCAAAGCCGCGAGAACTCCCCCAAGCTGGCTCCCCAGGCCGACGCAAAGGCGCCCATCGGCACCGTCGCAACGAGTCCCAAGATGAAAGTTTTCACCAAGCCCGTTATCATGAACATCATCTCATACGGCATACTCGCCTTGTATGTATCCTCGCTACCCGGCAAGCATCAGGGCACAACATCGAGAAGCTGACATGAGACCAGCCACACCATGACCTTTGACCAGCTCTTCCCGGTTTTCCTCAGCACTTCTCCGCCAAAGCATCGCGTCGTGGAGCTGCCCTTCAAGTTCGTGGATGGTTTCGGGCTCGAGACCAAGACCATTGGCGTCATCATGTCTATTCAAGGGGTGTACTCGCTGCTGTCCAACTACTTCATCGTTCCGCGGGTGACGCAACGGCTGGGATCGCTTCGTCTATTCCGCCTCTTGGCATTTTCCTACTTTGCGCTCTACCTGGTCACGCCATACCTCGTTCTGCTCCCGGAAAGCCTAAGGATGCCGGCCATCTATCTGCTTATCATTTGGAAGTGCACCTATTCAACCATGGCGTACCCGAACAACGCGATGCTCCTCGCCAATGCGGCACCATCAAAGCAGGTCCTCGGAACCATCAACGGCGTCGCCGCGTCCACGGCGAGCCTTTGTCGAGCCCTCGGTCCCACGCTGTCTGGCTTCCTGTATGCTGTTGGGCTGCAGTCTGGATACACGGGTCTGGCCTGGTGGGTCAGCGGCCTGATCACGATCGTTGGAGCCTATTTGAGCTCGCAAATCACCGAAGGCGAGACGCAGGACGCTCCCACGGAGGAGGAAGAGCAGTCGTTGCTCGACTCGGAGCTCCTCTATGACGAGGACGACGCCGCATAGCCAGCAGGCAACTCACGCGACATGACACCACGGAAAAGTACGGACACGTTTCGCGCCATTCTCAAATCCTTCGACTCTTCTCTCGTCGGTTTATATCCGGTTTAATCCATGACTTGGGCACGCAATACCCCTTTATTTCGATTCGTCTGCAGCAGTTGGGACGGCGTTGATTCAGCATTTAGAGGGGAACTGAGTTTGTGCTTTTATTCTTTTTTGTTTGGTAATTATGGTGCACTTGCATAGACTACACTGGGGAGGCCCAGACGGATTGGCGGGGCGGCATCGAGCCAGGACGCATCACGATTCCTGTCACCTGGGACTCGACTGATTTCACCGCCAGGGGCGGGCTTGTTTGGAGCATTTCTCACGAAGATGAAGAAGAACGACGGGGGGCGGTGGCGACACCGCATCGAGAGGGAAAATGGAAACCGGCTTTCGGGCGGATGCGCTCAAAGAGGACGCAGACCCGGGGGCATCTGATACGGCTATAGACTGTGCATCGGACACTGAGCCTTGCTTCGACGAGGCTAGGAGAGAGGTTGCACTCGATACGATACCTTGGGGGTCAGATTCGGTAGAAACGCCGCGCGAGACAAGAACGCGTTTGCAATGACGAAACCGCGTCTGCCAGCACGAACAGTGATGACACCGAGGCAAAGCGTGAAGTGCGGTCGGGATCACAGGCACGCCGTAGGGTGTAGCTGTGATGTGGCTCGTGAGGCAGTCGTGTTTATGGAGTACCTTACCATACCTTGCTTTGAGCATTATAACGTTACTTGATAGAGTCTGCAGCAATTGCCGACTTCCGGCGCTTGGGCCACGACGTCGGCCATCGCGCCTGCCGTGCGTGAGTTTGGCCGGACCGGCTCGCACAAATACCACCCAAGTTTATTTTTTCCCTCTGCTTTTCAATTATGCATCGCGACTCTTTCTCCTTGCCTATTTACTACCAAAAAATACTGCCGGTCGGCGGAGAAGCGTGCGCGCCCTGGCTGTCGACAAAAAAGGTTACGAGTACGCCGACTGTGTTCTCCGTGGCTGGGACGCGGTTGAGCGCTGCTGCCCGGGCGGACACTCGCTCGGCGACGACATCGCACGCACGCGAAGCAAGCTCAAATGCCCAACATCGACCAGTTGTTTGTTCCCCCGGCCGATGAAGCGTGGCCTGGCTTACGCGCCGCGTTGGGCCCTCACATGGGGACGTGACGGGTTGGCGTCGCGACGAGGGCGTACTGGCGGGCACACGACAGACACGGCACTGTTTGTTGGATGGACGACAGGTTGGAGTGGATGATGCTGTCGGCTCGTCGCTCTCGTTGAGCTGTCGCCCTGCGGGACCCCCTTGGCAGCACTCGCACATGGCAGCATTGCGGTTCGCACGAGGAGCAGCGTGACTGCCTGCGAGACTGGCAGCATCGCTGTTCACAGGACCGGCAACATTGCAGCCTACTGGACCGGCAGCATCGCAATTCGCACAACGGGCAGATTCACTGTCCGCACGACTGGCACCAGGCCCTCCTCCTCCTCCTCGTCCCTCCACGGCACACGCGCGCTCTCTCTGCTCGTCTCCTCGTATGGACATGGGAGACCCGGGCCCTTTTATTACTCGCAGACTTATTACCAATCGAGCCTCCACAACAGGTCTAGGAGAACATGGAAGGCCGCCAACTTTCGCCCTCCCTCGTGCCCGCGGCCTGTCGGTCCCCACCACAGGCCTGCCGCCAGCCTCCAGTGCCACTTGTGCCAGTGCCGGGCGCCGCGGGGACTGGGCCACTGGTGACAGGCGCCAGGCAGACGCAAAGATTAGACGGGCCCAGGAGATGCCCTTTGCGGAATGGCCTCTGGGGCTCGCTGGGCCTGGGTGGCTTGCTCCATGCGGGGGCGCACGAGGTGAGTGTGAGGTGGCGCCCGTGCCCCCGCCGCCGTCGTCGGGCTCCGTTGCGCTGCAGATTCCGTCGCTTTCACCAGTCGAGCGAAGCAGCGCAGAGCAGGGCCCCGTTGCGCTCCGATCCACGCAGACCTCCACGGCCGCATGCGCTAAAGAGCTAGTAGACCGAGCGAGTTCCAGCCACGGAGGCATGCAGCCACGGACGGCCTCTGCCACTGCCACTGCGAGAGGGACCCTGCCTCGACTGTCTCCCCGACCGTTTATCGTCGTCCTTCATCGGCACGCCGTAGCCTCGCCGTCCCGCCCGTCTTCTTCGACCCCCCGGGCTCACGTTGCGTCGTTGATCGTCCGTCTCACGCTCCGTCGAAACTCTTCCCTGCTCGCCGCCCCATCTCATCTTCGCCTTCGCCTTTGCCACTGCAATCAACGCACACAACGCCACCCCGGTCGTCGCCCAGCTGAACGGCACCGCCTGCTTGCGCTGCGCTCCCGTCCCCCAGCCTGGCCAGCCGATCCACCGCCTGAAGAGCGCACCCTGAAAGGCAGCGTCGGTCGCTCGGATAATGGACCGTAGCACCCGGTATCCAACCTAGCAAGCCATCGCATCGTTCCAGCACAGCAACACTACGCGAGCAAAAGAAAACGGGTATGTGATCGCATGCAGCGCTCGCCGTCCTGCGCCTGCCGCATTAGCCCTGCAACCCCGCCGTCCTCGGAACCAGTCCGCTAACCATTCCTCAAGACTCGGCCGAACGATCAATCCGCGTCCGTCGCGATCCTACCGACACCGCGTGAGACAGATTGCCTTCGTGGGGCCTTGCAATATGCCCTCGCATGGTCCGCCGTCTCCCAATCCCCAACCCGGTACCAAGCGCCAGCGGCAGGAGTCCTACGACGGCAGCTCGCCTCAGAACGGGCAGCCCAGCCCGACGGAACAGCAGGGCGATGCCCTCGCCGGACTTGGCGGCGCCGGCGCCAGCAGCAAGGCCGGCCAGAGCAGCAACTTTCGCAACGTGAGCGCCTGCAACCGCTGCCGCCTCCGCAAGAACCGATGCGACCAGAAGCTGCCCAGCTGCGCCAGCTGCGCCAAGGCCGGCGTTGCCTGCGTCGGATACGACCCCATCACAAAGAAGGAGATTCCTCGAAGGTAGGCAGGACACGGCGCAGCGCCCATCGATATTCTGCGCCTCGACGCTGACCTGACTTGTAGCTACGTCTTCTACCTCGAAACACGGGTCGAGCAACTGGAGAAGCTGCTCAACGCCAACAACATCTCCTTCCCACCGGCCGAGAACCTGGAGCTGTGCTCCCGCCCCGGCGTCGATGCCTCGAGCACTCTGTCCGGCGGTGATAGCACATACTCTGGGCGCTCCGAGATCGGGGAGCGCGCCAAGTCGCACAGCCAAGTCCTCGAAACGCTGAAGGCGAAGAAGGCCGGTCAAAGTCCCGCGATGCTGAACATTGTCAGCCCCTCGAAGCCGAGATCACTCGCCTCTGCATCGGGCGTTTCGTTCGCCCGGGTCGTCTTCGCCGCCGTGCAATACTCGGTCTCGGATAGCAACACTGCGGGCGACCGCTCTGGAGGTCGAAGTCTCACCGGTAACGCGACCTCGATGCGCGATTCCTTCTTCGGCCTGCACGCGAAGCCGACTATCCAACCCGCGCCGTTCCCCGCCAAAGAGGTCGGCCTGAGGCTGGTCCATCTGTATTTTGAGCACGCCAACCCTCAAATTCCAATCCTTCACCGCGGCGAATTCATGAAGGTGTTCAACCATGCCTACGAGACGGGTGGCCAGGATCTGGCGCCGAGGGAGCTGTATCTGCTCAATATGGTGTTCGCCATCGGATGCGGAGTCATCGTCGGCGAGCCGGTCAAGACAGAAGCTTCGGACGGAGACAAGATGGCCATTGACGAAGGAAAAGGCCAGAGCCAGCCCGAAGAGTACCACGCGAGCGCCATCGTCCACCTCGAATCGTGTTTGAGCTTCAGCGCCGGAGGTCTCGAGGTGCTGCAGGCTGTGCTACTGCTCGCCAACTTTGCGCTACTACGTCCCGTGCCGCCTGGTCTTTGGTGAGCGCCAAACGGAATCTTTCTACGCAGTACGAGTTTGGCTAACGTATATCAGGTATATCACCGGAGTGGCTGTTCGCTTGGCCGTAGACTTGGGGCTGCACCACGAAGACGGCACCGACGTTGAAGGGATGCCGCCGGATCCGTCTTCCGAAATGGACACGACAGACGGCGACACGAGCGCACGCGGGAACGGCTCGCAGGAGCGCGGGCGGCGGCTATGGGTCCGCGACATGCGAAGGCGCCTGTGGTGGTGCACGTACTCGTTTGACCGGTTGGTGAGCACATGCGTGGGCCGGCCCTTTGGCATCAGCGACCAAGTCATCACGACCGAACTACCATCGCTTCTCGACGACGAATACATTACGCCGAGCGGGTTCCTGGAGCCCCCCGAGGATGACGATCGGCCGAGCTACAAGCACGTAGCGCACCACTACTTCCGCCTCCGCATGCTGCAGTCTGAGATATTGCAGGTGCTGCAGTACAACCAGGCACAGCTGGCGCGCGTGGGCGGCAATCAGGGCAAACAGTATCCCGAAATGCACACTCACCTGCCCTCCCCCTTCCTGGTGCAGTTCGACTCGTTCCGATCCTGGCGCATCGATATCGACAGGCGGCTGTACCAGTGGAAGGCAAATGCTCCGACCAGAAGCGAAACTGGCGTGGCATTCTCCACCGAGTTCCTCGAGCTCAACTACTGGCAGGCCATCATCATGCTCTACAGGCAGAGCTTGAGCGTTCCAGCCATGTTTGAGGGCGAATACAACACTTCCGACGAGGTCAACAGCCCAACGGCTTTTACGGCAGAGTTGCGTGAGGACGAAGATCGCATCTACCTCAAGGTCGCCGAGGCAGGTCAGAAGATTCTTCGAATCTACCGGCAGCTGCACCTCAGTGGGCTTGTGAGCTACACGTACCTGTCCACACACCACCTCTTCATGGCGGGAATTTCATATCTCTATGCCATATGGCATTCACCAGTTGTGCGGAGCCGATTGGTAAGTGTCAAAAGATCAAGACTTGCCAGGAGCGAAATGCTGACAGCGTTGGTAGTCTATGGATGAGGTCGACTTCACCGTTCTCGCGGCCAAGTCCGTGTTCACAGACATGATTGACAAGTGCCCGCCGGCCGAAACGTGCCGCGACGCCTTTGACCGCACCGCCAAGGCGACGATCAAGATGGCCAGCTCGAGCGGAGGTTTTGGTCCCGCGTCGCAACAACCGCGGCGGCAGAGGCGCGAGACGGTGAACTGGGCCTCGGCGCCCGATGCTGCGACCCTCAAGCCTCCGTCCCGAAGGCCGAATCAGTCGGAACAAGCGCCGTTCCAGTTCGACCTGTCCATATCCGACAACCTGTCGTCGCCTAGCCTGTCGGCAACGGGTGAGATGCACACGCCGCCCTTGGGCAAGTCCAAGACGTTTGAAACGGACACGTTCATATCCGGGTCTCGCTCTCAGAGTGGCCCGAGCCCCGGTAACAGGACCATCAGCCACGACGGGGGCTCCTCCATCGATCCGTCTCTTGTTCCTTCGCCGCCCGTCTCACGGCGAACCGGGAATCAACACGGGGGCTCGGGCGGTACCTTTATGGGACAGCAGTTCGGCATGCAGGGCTCCATGGACTACCCTGACGCGCAGACCATGGAATTCCTTCAGAACCTAGGGGCGACACCCAACGGCGACATGAACAACATGGAGCAGGCGCAGCTGGATCTCGGCTTCGGCATCAACTGGGAGGGGATGCACAACGACTACGGCGAAGGGCAGCAGATCAACCCCTTTGACACGTTCTTCTTCGGCGGGCAGCAGACCGGAGGCGGCGGAGGCGGCGGCGGTGGAAACGGAGGGGGCGCTGCTGGAAGTGGTGGCAACAATGGCAATGGGGCTGCGTAGAGCCACATATGAGCTGCGTTGCGTGGGTTTGACGCCGCCAGTAGCTGCAGTCTTGTTTGCAGGAGTGAGCTGCCTGGCCGCGCGTTCTTGTCGACAATTTGGCCGTGGGGAATACCCTGGGAGGATGACGGATGCAACGGAGCACGGTGAAGCGGAGTGGATGCTTGTTTCTTCTTTATACGGGGTGGTGGTTTTCTGTCATTTGTGTGGGTACGGGTTTTCTCTGGGACGGGGGATATAAAACAAAACACGACGTGGTGCATGCCCATGGCTAGAGCAGAGGTCAAGGGGCACGCTGGGGCTGAAAGCACCAGGATAGTGTACATGTATGGCTGTATATTTTACGAGAACCTATAGGAGTTGCTGGACTGATGTGGTGCTACATCCCCAGCCATGCCGTCAAGGGCAGACAAATACCCTTGTTTCATTAAGCTATACATGAGAGTCCGTCTCTCTTTTCGTCGTGTATCGTGACATGTCGTGTCGTGTCTGTGTCTGCGCCTGCTCCTGTTGCCCGGCACTCAGCGGCTCCCTGATTTACCGCCTCTTGCCAGTTACTCATTCCCAGCCAAGCTGATATCAGGACTCCGCCGCCAGTCATAAAGAGGACCTCGAGAACGGATTTGTGTGGTCCAACGTCGAGCATTCCAGTGTCGTTCCGACACGTGTGCGGTGGGGTGGTAGAGGCGGGATGGGCTATTGATAGTAGTAGTAGAGACAAAACGTGTGAGTGATGCTGTTGGAATGCTCGCGCCCTACTATATCCCCACCTCGACCACGTTGGGGGCTCGAGATGATAGTCATGTGCCGGACCACAGATCCCGCCTGCCGGGTCCTTTCAATAGCACTACACGCTTTGCCCCCAAGTTTGTTGAAGCTTGGTTGAGATCTTGTCTGGATTTGTTTGTTCCGTTATGGCCACGGTCACCGCTCGCGGCTGTACTCGCGGCTGCTGCTATACCGGCGGCTGCTCTCCCGGCGCACGTGCCGCACGCCGGGCGGAGGCGGCGGCCCGTGGTCATCGTCGTGGTCGTCGACGTCGACGTCGCGGTAGCGGTACGCGCTGCCCGCGCGGCTGCGGCGACGGCTCTCCCTGCGGCGCGACGGCGGCGGCGGGCTGTGCTCTTCTATGACCACCACCTCGTCGTCCTCGTCGTCTGTGTGCGTGGGAACGACGCGCGGGGGCGGCGGCCCCCTTGCGCCTGCTGGGCCAGGAGGAGGGGGAGGGCCGGGACCGGGCCTGGCGTCGACGACGATGGGCGCGCGCGGCACACTCCCGCCGCCGGTGACGACGCGCTCGCGGGTGCGCACCTCGAACATCTCCGTGGCGCGGCCGCGGCGCTCCCGCCGGTGCGAGTGCCGATGGTGCTTATGCTCCCCCGCAGCGGCGGAGCGCGCATTGGAGCGGAAGCTCAGGACGCTGCGCGCGCCGACCCCGCCGGCCATGCCGGACACTTCAATCTCCTCATCGGCAGAGCCACGGCCGAGGACGACGGGGCCGAAGCCGAGGGCCGAGTAGAGCAGGAAGAGGAGGAGGAGGAAGCCGGCGACGGAGCCGAGGACGATGCCGACGACGACGCCGGGGGAGGGAGAGCTGTCGAGGGAGCCGTAGGTGGAGGGGATGACGACGTAGGTGGGCGAGGGGGTGCTCTGGCGGGGGGCGAGGAGGGTATCGTGGGCGGGAGGGATCGGGGGGGTGTCGTCGTCTGCGCGGGTGGTCTGTGATGTCGTCGCGGTGGGTGGTGGTAATGTGAATGGCGATGATGCGTCTTGTTGTCGTTGTCGTTGCTGGTGTTGCTGTGGGAGGAGAGAGTGTCCGAGGACGGGGAGGTGCGGGTTGAGCAGGCCGTCGACCATCAGCGCCGGCATGGCGGGCGACGACAAAAGACGCCGCAGCGCCAGACCGGTTTATGAAAAACCAATTCGATTCGGGAGGCGAGCTCTGCAGTCGCAGTCGCGCGGATCGTGCAATTCGCGGGGGTCGCTCGCGGGTGCGCTTCAATGCCAGAGGGTAGAGAGGTCTTGTAGTCTTGTAGTCACTCGTCCGGCCCGGAGTTGAAACCTCCTCTTTGATGACTTTGCGGCTGAGGGCGGTGACGGGCGACGGGCG